GGCTGGTTGGCTGGTTGGTCGACTGGTTGGTTGGCTGGTTGGTCGGTTGGTTGGTTGGGTTGGAGAAATAGATGGTTCACTTCGTAGTCTGTGAGCTGGTTGATTGGTGGGTTGCATATTGTCGATCAGTCACTCGGTTGAATAAATAAATACTTCTTTGTAATCTGTGAAGTCTGTGGATAAATGGTTGGTCAATGGGTTAATGAATCGCCAAGCTGATGCAAGTAATTCAATTCAGTTCCATATATATTTAACTTGTCAATGTTTCCAGAATCTGCGACATCAGAGATGGCCAAACAAGAAGCAGGGCGCAAACAAAGTCACAGTGAGATTCTTCTCGATCTGACAGACATTAAAGGGAAAGCACAAGACGTGTGGAACAAGATAGGTTAACCAACTTTTTCCCACTTTCTCAAGCTTTCCTTTCCATCCTTTTACTTTTCCCTTTTTAATTTGAYGTTTTGACGCGCGTGACGTTTTCCTTTGTGTGCAGATGAAGGGACTCTCCAGATGATGGACTTTCATCAGAACTCRACAGAGCACTACAATAACACCTTGGAAAATCTGAAAAAGATGAACCAAACTATTTGCTACTTATTAGAGGTATTGATAACATGTCTGTAAATCTCTTCCCCCGAATGGTTAATTGGTGCGTGCATTATGAGATCACAGCACGCGCACGCGTTGTATTCTTCATAGAACCCTTCTCGGCAATATATAGATTTCCTAGGATGAACGTTGCATATAAGCGATCTGAAGGTCCCTGTGTTCTAGTTGTTGAATGCGCTATCTTTGAAATCAAGGAAAGTGTGGTGGTTGTACATTATTCTCTATTATCTGAAGTCTTGGGTTCAATTCCCAATCTCAGCAACGCATGTGAGTAGAGTAGGTGAAGTCTCTCCCTTGATTCAGGGGTTTTTTCTCCGGGTTTTTCCTTTTTCCTCTCTTCGCAAGACCTAATAAGCGAAATCCCAACTCCATCTCAGTTGTTTAGTGCTTGGCTTCAGCTTTGAATACTCTTAAGACAGAGCTTTGATAAAATAAGGAGGTAAATCTCACATGCCCCATCAGCTCCCTGGAAGACCAGTTACTAGCTGAACAAAAACTGACGCTAAATAAGGCCTTTACYTTTTTTCTGYGAGTTAGCCGTGCCCTGACTTTGATCAGCCCAGAAWTTGTTTAAGGGTTGCATAAAATTKATGTTSGAATAAAGAGTTTACATTTTTGCTCACCAGGCCATCGATTCCATGCAATCCAAGCTCGATAATCGCATCACGTGGCTTTCTGATCAATTCGGAGGAACTRACAACAAGATTGCCACTTTAGTGACATGCCTRATGCATGCTGGCTACTTCTTTGTTGCTACGTTTAGTATCCTCTTTCTACAAGCACCACTGTTTACAAGGCTGGTTCTTCTCGTGATGGTCCCAGTGAATGCCTGGTCTGAGATCAAACTTGGTTCTAGTTTGTCATTCTCCGCGCTGTCGATATTACTGTTTGTTGTCTTCATAGGTAAGATGTA